GAGAGAGAGAGAGAGAGAGAGAGAGAGAGAGAGAGAGAGAGAGAGAGAGAGAGAGTTTTCATGGGGTCACGTTCCGGCCTCCTGCAGGTGGGCGTCCAGTTTCGCAGCTCCGCCCTCCCGCCAGCATGGGCTCCGGCCGTCCAGAGTCAGGTGGCCGTGAGTGTGCGTGCGGGCTCTTTCTGGCCCTCCGTTCTGTGCCCCTGCCCTGCCGCTCTATTTTTATGCAGGCACCAGCTGTCTTTGCTACAGTCTCTGCTGTTGTTTTGCCTTTGATTTGTTTGCCTTTCTTTAGCCGGATCGAATCCAGAGCCTTGTGCGCTAGGCAAGCGCTCTCGTCCTGAGCTACAGCCTCAGCCCATTATTATCTTTTTCTTTTTAACTTTGAGATGCGGTCTCCGTACGTTGCCAGCCTGGTCTTAGACTTTGATCCTGTCGCCTCAGCATCCCAAGTAGCGGGGACTGAGTCCCAACCCGCTGACTCGCAGGATTCTGTTTTGGAGTCAGGCATCACGACGCCTTGTGTCGCTTTGGCTGCCCAGGGCCTCCTGTGGGCTGCGTGAGTTTCGAGCCAGTTTGTTCTAGTCCTGTGGAGCAAGCCCTCAGCACTCTGCCCTTGTGTCTGAACAGCAGGTCTGCTCTTGCATCGACATGAACATCACCCTCCTTTCCACCTCAGTGCTTTATAACTTTTCAATCTCAAGGTCTTTCGCCTCCTTGGTTAATATATACTTAGGTTTCTGGGTTTGTAGGTTTTTCCTTGTTGTTAGTTTTGCTTTTTTTTGAGGCAGGGACTTCCTGTGTAGCTCAGCCTGGACTTGAATTTGCTCATGTGGCCCAGGCGGGCCTCAAACTCTTGGGGATCATCCTGCCTCAGCCTCCCGAGTGCTGGGGCAGTAGGCAGCACCCCCACATGCTGCTGTATCTACCTCAGTTTCTCATTGTAGCTGGTAGAGTTTGAGGCCACGCTGATACCTGGTGCCCACTGTCCCCAAGTTCAGGAGTGTGGAGAGTGGCACAGGGCTTCAACGGCTGCATTTTCCTGATCTCAGCCAGTTTGTTGGTAGGTGGCAGTACCCCAGAGCTCGGGGTTAATTTTTTCTTTTTTTTGTATTTTAGGGTCTCCAGGGTGTTCAGGGTCTCACTACCAGATCGGACTCATAGTGATCCCCCGGCTTACAGCCTCCCAAGAGCTGGGATTACAGGTGCGCACCACCACGCCCAGTCTCAATCTCAGTGTGGTCGGGGTCGGGGCCAGCCAGCAGGCCTGGGGATCTAACCCTCGGCTCCTGCGCCTGCTTGTAGGTGCTTCAATCTGCTGAGCTATTTGGCTGGTCCTGTGGGTTAATTATTTTTTTCCATAATTTTATTGCAAAACAAACAGCAATGAGACAGCTTCAAACAAAATTGGTAGGACAGTTTTAATAACCAACACCCTGCATACGTTCTTCCCAGTGGTTAATTGCTGTACAAGATGCGGACATGATGGTTAATTTTTTTTTTATTTTTTTAAAAATTTTATTTATTTATTTATGTGTGTGTGTGTGTGTGTGTGTGGCCAGCTCAGCCCACCAGGGGGCGGGGCTGGCTGGCATGTGGTGCTGGGGATTGAACCGCCGTCCCTGTGCTTTGCTGAGCTTGTTCTAAGTAGGTGCTTTAGACCACTGAGCCATCTCACCAGCCCAGATGGTTAATTTTATATCCTGCTACTTTCCTAATCTTTTGTCAGTTCTGAGAAATTTGGTGGTTTCCTAGACATAAGAGCACACCGTCTACACAAGCAGTGACAACGTGACTCGCCCTCCCTAGCTGAACCCATGTGTCTTGCTCTTGCCTGACTTCTTTGGCTAACACAGAGTGCGAGAGCAGACACCCTTCTGTTGTGTAACCCCGAGTAGGTTTTTATCACAAGGGAGGTTGAATTTTATTGAAGGATTTTTTTTGTTGTTGTTAACAGGGATTGAACTTGATTTAGGCAGGCACGTAAGCCGCTGAGCCATCTCCCCAGCCCAAAGGATTTCTTTTGCCATACATTGAGATGATCATGTGGTGTTTATCCTTGATTCTACTTATGTGGTATGTTTACTTATTTATTTGCATATATTAAAAGCAATCTTCTAACCTTGGAGT